GTTAAAAGATGAATTATTAAAATATAGATTATTAAAAAATATTTACATTACTAAAAGATATAGTCTGTTTACCTAACCTAACTTAACCTAACCTAACCTAACTTAACCTAACCTAACCTAACCTAACCTAACCTAACCCAACCAAACACAATTGCAGAACACGAGTAGCGTCCTCCTCCTCAGGTACTGTGGAGACCCGGGCTCTTTCCATGCTTAAGATTAGTGAACCTTTTTGGGGATTAAAATTTCGGGCTCTTTTCATGTGCTCCGACTTAAAATGTTCGCCATGACGAGAAACCTTGCGCAAAACTTTCCATTATTTCTTAAATTGTCCTATAAGGTAGTAATTGCTTTTCAAAGGGAACTTTCCATATACCTAATGTCAAAAATACCTCAGCTGTAATGATTTGTATGTTATTCTTTCAATTTATTATTTTATTAAAATCAGGTGAGATTATTTGTTTGTATTACTGTACCTGTTCTGTTTTGTTTATTTCAGCTTAACCTAACCAATCAATATATTGTGAAATCAAAAGGGGTGAAACCCTTGGGTAACAACTAGTATCTTTTAATATTAGAATGAAATGTGACAAAAATCACGCAATGCTGGGTTTTTGGACGTTTGTAATTTTATTTCTTAAGTAGGGAGGCCGTGTATTCTAGGGAAAAGTACCGGTATCAAGGATCGTCGTCGAAAAGGTTGTTATGAATAATTGGGTAGGCGTAAGTACCCAAGAGATGGGCTATGGGCCTATTGGCTGTATGGTCCAGCGATTGCATCATACGGTGAGTAGGAACAGAAAGTGACACATTGGAAAAGCGAGTTTAGCATCATCCATAAACCGTAAACCTCTGTTACTGTTACAATCCCCCACTGCAGTTGTGATTTTTTACTTTACACTTTACACAACCACCATTGAAGCGCCGTCAATGAGTTAGTAAGCTATTGGCGACGATCATTAATAAATTCAAGTTTCCCAGCCCTATACAACACTGATTCAAGGTTATATCAAAACTCAAGAACAATTTTATACACAAAGAATCTCTGGTTCCTAACCTGGTTGATGTTATTAAATTTCATTTACGGTTACACTATATTATTCCACTTGCGATTAATTAAATCCCTTATGTAAGACAACGATTTTAATCTCACTTGGATGGGCTTTGCCTTCAAAACGTGATCGGAAATGGTTGTGGTATTTGTAAACATATCAGTGACAGCGAGAAAAAATAATCTTGATCCGAACAGCTGTTCGTTATTTCATAGATCATTATGTGATAAAAATTGGACGAAAACTTGACAAAAATCGCACAAAACTGCATTTTTGAACGTCCGTAATGTTATTTATTAAGTAGTGAGGCCATATTTTAATGGCTAAAGACACTCTCGCCAATCCAGTGAATACATTAAAATGACTTGGATCTTGATAGGTACTCTCGTTTTCCTGGAGAAGATTGCGTAAAATGCCATCTTGAGTGTTACAGAAAGACAGAAAGACAGACAGACAGACAGACAGAAATTTAGATGAGACTTGTTTCGGCTTCTTTAATGTATAAAACGAGGGTATAAAAAATAGTTTTCAAAGATCATGTTGATCAATGTACATTCATCTAGTCTTGAAAAAATAAGTATTTAAAAGCTTACTCCAAACATAATGAAGTTGATCGGTTGTTAACAAAAAGTCATCATTTTTCAAACCATATAAACCTTATAGTTTTCCAACTGTTGCCTTGTTTATTTTTTCTTTTTATGTTTTTTTTTTACTTTATGATGTTTTTCAATTAATGGTTCAAATATTCATAGTATATATATTTCTGAACAAGAACATATACCCATGTATATATAACTAATAAACGTTCCATAAGCATTTTACACGAGAGAACACTATTTATTCGGCAAGTAGCCGGTCATCGTAACCGGTCATCATGAAGGAGCTTGGACGTCGTGCAACAGCGCTGAGCTATATTGGACGTCGTGCAACAGTCAAATATTTATTGGACGTCGTGGCACTTGGACTTCGTGCAACTGGCAACGACTTTGGACGTCGTGCAACACTCCCGCAAATGTTACTTTTTTACAATTCTATAGTGCGCTGTTTCACGACGTCCAAGTGCCACGACGTCCAAAGCTTGTAGAAAGACTATATTTTTGGTAGTTACTGTACTTTTGGACGTCGTGGCACTTGGACGTCGTGCAACAACTCAAAAATTATGTTTTGGACGTCGTGGCACTGAATAAATATTATTGGAGTCGTGGCACTTGGACGTCGTGCAATGCATCCATTTAGGTCTAATAAGTAAAAAACATTGAAAACTTCCACTCGTACCTTAAGGGTACGAGAGTGCTCAAAAGTATAATTTACATATTAAGCAGAAATAATTTATAGTTTCCTAACCCCTTAATCCCCCCTTTTCTGAAAAGTCAGAAAACATATTCGTAAATCTCTTAGACTAAGGATAACTTATCAATTCGGCGATGGAGTCCAGCCTTGACCATCGAATTCCGTCCACACGCTCTTAAATCCGGAACACGACTCCGACGCCCTCCCCGCGCTTCATATTCCCCCCCCCCCCAAGTTCTCCAGCGATCAGCTGATTGACCGTGACGCGTCTCCGCTGTGACACGAGCGTCACACTTTTAAATATAGACTAAAAGTGTTAGAGTTTTGTCTCGATTAAGCTAAGTTATCGTTGTACCTACTTTAAGTTATATGTGTTATCCGGCCACACTCCTACAGTTATCCACTTCTTGTAGAGGATCCAGAAAACTGAGATACTACACACTGCTTCCGTTCAGTATGAGTTGCTACCCCCCCCCCCCCCCCAACTGATCTTAGAAAAAAAACGTGCCAGGTTTTAAAGACCTTTTAAGTCAATATTTGATTTTAGGTTGTCAACTCTACATAACCTGCTTACCACTTTGCTAAGTTATCGACTACGGTATGTCTTAATTATAGTGCAAACCAAGATATGTAACTACCAGTAAGTAAAGTGGAAATGTACTCTTCTATCTTATATTTTAAACAGTTACACATTGGCCAAAACTTCTGTGTGCGGGGACGGGTCACTACTAGCCAAACTAAAACATGCGGGTGTTGGTTATTGGCAGGCCTGAGGGTAGGGGTTCGAGTGAGTAGCAAGATACGAATGTTTTCACAAAAGTACCCCCACCATCCCCCTTGCCTGGACCCGACCAGATCTGGTCGCGCGCTTAGAAACTTTGGCCGAACTGTACACAGTAAGCCTAGTGGTGTTTTTACTTTACCTGTAATGTTTGTGGCTAGTTTCCCATATTATATGGAAATATATGTGTCCGTTAGCACGATAAATCATCCATTTTTGATGAATTTTTGGTACAAAAGTGTAAACTTACAACTATTTGAACGAGTTCACAAACCAGTTTGATCAGACAATGGGATCAGCACAAATGGGGGGGGGGGATTTTTTTTATATTTTTTGACCCTCAAAACATGTTTTTTTTCATTACCCTTAAAAACTATTTGAAGTACTTCAAAAACAAATAATTCAGTATAAATTGAAGTATTTTTGTAAGGTTATTGGTTTTAGATAAAATTCAAAAGATTGTAAATTTTTAATTCCCATGTTTTTCTTGAAGACGTAAGGAAAAGACCGGCCTGTAAACATTTCCGCTGACTATAGTGGTATACGCCCCTGTGTTTCGCCATAGACTTACCAACTCAAGAAGACTTCCCATCCCATTGTCAATTTTGAAGCTCTTTTTTTTTGTGTCTAGTCCAAATCCGGTGACACTGGTGGCTAGTGTCGACGAAATTTTGTTTCTATTATTTTAGAGTTATTTTCATGCTTTGTGGTTTACTGTTTGTTTATATAACCAGAGGATGAGTTATTGTTTATGATTATATCGTTTTATTCGGTAAAATGGGGTTTTAAATTACTGAAAAAACAAGAAACAAATTGTAAACAAAACACATCTACGTTCACTGGACAGAACTAACGATAAAATTGTTTTTAGCTGTTCCATATGGATGGGAAATCTACTAAGGGTTTGGGTTTACTTACTTAAGTGTTACCTATGGTTTCGTGTACTTGAGCGCCTTTATTTGGGTTGCAAGGACAGTTGACGCAACCCGCATGACGGCACTTCATATTTTTGAACTAGGCTAGTAGTGATTGGTCAAGTGCCCCAGCTTATGTGTCACAATGCTTTAAAATCAAATAGAAAGGTAAAGACGGCGGGATTCTGTTGCGGTAGCAAGAAAGTGCCTTAAAAAAAATCGTCTTGGTGCTTACAATGAGGAAACAAATTGTTGAAAGCAGCTTCATGCCTACTTCATATCTTCCCTGGAAAAGATAATTGGATGATTATCAGTAGCCTATGTTTAAATACACATGTTTCTGCCATTATTTCATATTAATATTCCATGTTGAGGCAGATAAAAAAAATATTTTTTACAAGAATATATAAATATTTTAGTACTATTTCCAATAAACTCATTTTAATTGCCTAAGAAATTATGAAAGTAAATAATCTTTTATCATTTGTTTGATTGTTTTTAAAAACCAGACAAACATTTTCAGAATAAATTCAATTTTCAAAATTACGTCATTCATTTAAAGCGCCAAGACAACCAATGTAGGCCTACCTATAATTATTATGATGAATCACAATTTATTGATTTAATGAACTGAGTAGGCCTATTCTTAGTCTGTGCTTCAATATGACCACATTCAGGCAATGAAAATATGAAGACAGACTTTAAGACGCTTTATTAATTTAATTATTTGACACACGTGTATGGATTTATTATAGGTTGATTTAGGTTGGATAATCAAGACTACTGTAGCCCTAATATCATTCATTAAAATGGAAATATTTTAACGATGCTGAGGTTTTTTTTAAATCCAAACACTTTCCTTAAAACTTAAATATAGATTTTAAGTAACTTTCCATTACCTAATAAGAAAAATTGATAAACTCCATATAGCAGTTCTCAACAGTTCTTAAACCTATTTTCTAGGTCATGAGTTGGAGGAAATCCGCTTACGTTCTCTTAATTCAATAATATCCAAACTGGACAATGGATTGATTTCTCACGAGGAACTCCTTGACAAAGACAACTTATTCCAGAATTTAACTAAGTGGTTTCAGTATAGAAATACACTAGCCAAAGAAGATGTTTTAAAATTAATTCTGAGACTGATTAAGGTAAGTAAATAATGTACATTAGTTATACCATAGATTATAAACATACTGTATGTTTAATCTATGGTTATACTTACAAAGTTATACTGTTAATTCAATACTTTTATCTAATGTTTTATCAACAATAAGAGATAATCTGCTTTTTTTACCCAAACTTTTCTAATAACACTACGGTATATAACTTTTAGCAAGCTTATGTTACACCAGGCTACAACATTTGTCTAAAGAGGTTTAAATATATTTTAATATTTCTCAGTACCCAGGCAAATGCGGAAGACAATTTATAAAAAGACAAGTAGCCTACAGGGAAAAGGAAAACACACTTTTATACTAAATGTCAAAAACAAATTTTCCGATTCCTTAAAAATAATTAAGATCTTTAGTCTCACATCCGTAGCTCAGTAATGTGTTTTCAGTCGCAGAAAGATGCTAGTGTCCTCCTACTGAAGGCAGATCCTGGGCTGGCAGTGTTGAGAGGGATCACTGACTTTGATGTGTTGATCCAGGACATTATCAATATTACATCAGAACAAGTCAACTCTGCAAGGTATTTTAAACAACCGTTTCAACTATCAATTATCTTAATCAGAGTTATATCTGAAGATGTCAATGCAACACAAGTTGTTGCCTGGCAAACCTTGTAAGTTTGATGTAGGCCTATGTGTCTTGATGAATTGTTTACCTACAACAAAACTTAAATGATGAAGTAAAACAAAATTATTTTTTAAGGGAAGCTATTTATATAGGCCTATATATTTTTATGTAAAATCTTGTATACCGTTTAAAGTAGGCTTAACATAAAATATATAAAGTAGACTCCCTCTTATCTGCACACCTTTTAACTAATCACTGGTATAACCAAACTAAACTTGGCAGAAGTGAGGTCTCTTTAACCAAACAATTTTAGCAATTTTCTCTATAGGGAAGTAGCTATTACTGTAGGTGGCACGGTAAGACCTAGACCCAGGACCGATTAATTTTTTAATTTTGAAGTCACCAGAGGCCAAAAACACTATTCGTTAAAATTGTTATACAGGGTGGCTGAAAAGTAACTTGCATCCCCCCTTAACTTTTCAACCATTTGAGATATTTGAAATCTGTTTGTGGCAACCTTCTTAGCTATAAAGGGGCTACAATAATTATGGTCAATTTTGAAAAATTTGCCCTTAGGGGTGTGGGGGTAAGGAGTAGCTCAAATTTTTCAAATAACAAGTATAGTCGAGTTTGGTATCATTTTACAGGTCTTGACGAAACGTACAAATTGACATAAAGAAAACCAAAATCGGCCCACTAATAACGAAATGGTGCCCTAAAACTTTTCAAATCCAAATAACCATCAGGGTGGCTGAAAATTAACTTGCACCCCGTTTAACTTTTAGCGAATTTCCCATATAGGGAATAAGCTATTACCGTAGGTCTCATGGTAAGACCTAGACCCGGGACCGATTTACTTTTTCGTTTTGAGGTCCCCAGAGGCCAAAAACACCATCGCCGTTTAACTTTTAGCGAATTTCCCATATAGGGAATAAGCTATTACCGTAGGTCTCATGGTAAGACCTAGACCCGGGACCGATTTACTTTTTCGTTTTGAGGTCCCCAGAGGCCAAAAACACCATCCGTTCAAATTCATATATATATATATATATATATATATATTTATTTATATTTATATATATATATATTTATATATATATTTATATATGTGTCCGTCAGCGCGATAACTTGAGCAAATATGATCCGATTTTGATGAAATTTGGTACAAACGTGTAAACCTACGTTTATTCAAACGAGTTCGCGAACCAGCATAATCGGACCATGGGAACAGGGGTTTATGGGGTAAAAATGGGTTTTTCCCATTTTTAACCCCAAAAATAAAGATTTTTGCAATTTCTTTCTCAACCATTTTGTAGAGCTTAAAAAAAGGAATAATTTAGTATATTGAAGCGCTGTTTTATGCCTAACGGTCACGGAGAAAATTAAAAAAAAGTGTAATTTAAAATTCCCATGTTATTCTTATGGAGAAAATGAAAACTGTTGTAGTTTACTTGTTTATGGATATATGTTGATAAAATTTGGCAAATTTATTTATTTCATTCTATACTATTGACATATGGTCAAAAAACACTTTTTACCTTCCCCGTAGCAGCAAACCTAAGCACTGGTAGTTAAATCTAATGTTATTTAAATTGGGAATTAATATGACTTATTTATGGAAATATTTTAGTAAAAATGTAATCAGACAAGTTGAAATTCGCTTAGTCTGCAGGTTTGCTGCGGCGGGGGTATTTAACTATTTGAGATATTTGAAATCGGTTTGTGGCAACTTGTTTGGATATAAAGGGCTACAATAATTATGGTCAGTTTCGAAAATTTTGCCCATAGGGGTAGTGGGGGTAGGGGGTAGCTCAAAATGTTTAAATAGCAAGTATGGTCGAGTTTGGTATCATTTTACAGGTCTTGACGAAACATAACAATTAACATAAAGAAAATAGAAATTGAACCAATAATAACAAAATAACAGCTAAAAATGATTAAGACAATGTTTATTAAAAGTAATTTTGAACTGCCATTTTGTTATTAATGGTCCGATTTCTATTCTCTTTATATTAATTGTTATGTTTAGTCAAGACCTGTAAAATGATACCAAACTCGACTATCATTGTCATTTGAAAATTTTGAGCTACCCCCTACTCCCACTACCCCTAAGGGCAAAATTTTCAAAACTGACCATAATTATTGTAGCCCTTCATATCCTAACAAGTTGCCGCAAACCGATTTCAAATATCTCAAATAGTTAAAAAGTTAAACGGGGTGCAAGTTAATTTGCAGCCACCCTCATGGTTATTTCGATTTGAAACGTTTTAGGGCGCCATTTTGTTATTAGTGGTCCGATTTTGGTTTTCTTTATGTCAATTTGTACGTTTTGTCAAGACCTGTAAAATGATACCAAACTCGACTATACTTGTCATTTGAAAATTTTGAGCTACCCCCTACCCCCACTACCCCTAAGGGCAAAATTTTCAAAATTGACCATAATTATTGTAGCCCCTTATAGCTAAGAAGGTTGCCACAAACAGATTTCAAAAATCTCAAATGGTTGAAAAGTTAAGGGGGGGTGCAAGTTACTTTTCAGCCACCCTGTATATGTATGTGTCCGTTAGCACATAACTCAGGCAGTTGCAAGGGGTGTATCTTGCGAACCAGCAAGATTGGGTAATGGAAACACCCCCTTCTTCCTTCGAGCACGGACTTGCAGTCTATTCGGGGGAATACTATTCCTACCACCAATAATGTATTCCTGTATATTTCTCAAGTGAATAAAGTGATTTTTGATTTGATTTTAAACAGGGTATTAGGCTATGGGATTTTTAAATATTCAAACATTTTTTTACTTGTAGAGCTTAAAAAAACAAATAATTCTGTATATTAAAGCATTTTTTAACAAAGAAAATTCACAAAAACTGTACATTATAATGATTCTTACGTTATTCTACACTAAGCACCTGTAAATTCACCACACCTGTGAACTCTGTACGTTATGTGCCAATAAACATGATTGTGATTATGATTTCTTATAGAGAACAAAACTTTAAGTTTAGTTGTTTATGTATCTATGTTGATCCAATTTGGCAAATGTATTTACAGTAGACTCTCAGTAATCTGGCAGATATAGGACCGTGATAAGGCCAGATTAGTGAAAATGCCGGAGTACTGGAATGTCATCAATTAAAAAAAACACTTAAAATGCACTTAAAACACGTCCCCGAACACTGCACGATCGGAAACCGTTATTGCCACGATCGGGCATGATGACGATGATGTTTCCGTAATCGTGTGAGTCATTGATGACATCTAAACGTCCGCAGGAGATGTTCATGATTTTGCCACGATCGCATATGACGGCGATGACGTTTCCGTGACCACGGGAGTTGTTGATAATGTCTAAACCGCGGGAGATGTTCATGATTTTGCCGTGATCGGGGCATGACGACGATGACGTTTCTGTGACCGCGGGAGGTGATGATAACGTCTAAACGTCTGTGGGAGATGTTCATGAGTTTGCCGCGATCACGCATTTTTGTTATTATGTTTATACAGTAGACTCTTGATAATTCGAAATTGGTGGGCCAAGCATATAAATTTGAATTATCAAGAGTTTTGAATTATCAAGAGTTTGATTTATCGGGAGAAAAATAAACCATTTGAATTACAGAGAGTTTGTTTGTTTAATACATACAAAGGTACAGCACGTTACAATAAAACATCATACCGTATTTTAGTACACTTTTAAACAATCAACGGCTTACTTTTCAGTTAATGTACATAGTTGCAAAGAAATCTTATTTAGCGCTATATATTTCGCCAATAGCTGAACTATCAGCTGTCGACAACTACGTTTGTGCTCAAGGAGATGTCGCGCAATCTAGAGATCGGATTGCCAACTTAGAAAAACAAGTCAGCGAACTAACTCAGACTACTGCTCTAACTAAACAAACATCAAAACGTCCAACACTAGCCTACCATGGGAACAGGATGTACTGTACTGTATAGTTTCCTGTTATAACAGGAAGAGATCACTTCGAATTACTGCGTGACTTTGATTTATAGAGTGTTTTTTCTACGAAACTTCGAACTACAGCATGACTTCGAATTATAGAGTGTCAACCGACGAACTTCGAATTACTGAGTTACTTCGAATTATAGAGTGTTTTTCCGACAAAACTTTGAATTACTGCGTGTTACAAATTGACTATTTATTTGGACTTTGAAATACCGAGTGTATCAAAATGCATGGTAAAAATTTGAAATATTGAGAGATTCTCTAGGGACTGAGCCTTCATTTTGAATTATCGAATGTTTTGAAATATCAAGTGTTTGAATTACCAAGAGTGGACTGTATCTAGTCTGATCCACCTAAATCAAATCTTAGGGGTTTTTTCATCAGTTACCTACTGGAGAGAACATAATTCTATGTCTTGCTTACAAAATATTTTCCTGAATAAAGGTATATCAAGAGCGATGGAACCAAAGATCCTCACCAAGCATTTGACTCAGTTGGTTCCAAGAGCATCCATAGTTTGGTCTCGTGTAAACAGTCTGCCAGGAACTCAAAAACTGTTGGATCACAGTCAACACTCAGGCCTTCACTTGCCTCCTGGGACAAGCATGGGTCTGCGAGAGTTAAAGACTTTCCAATAGGAAAAACTACCAACTCTGCAACATCTGTCTGGCCTGTTAGCCAAAAGGAATCTGCTGTGTCCAGGTTTGTTGCTATGGACGAATGTTCCGGCCAAGTGCCAGTAAAGCCTGAGTCAATGGCCTGGTCTGGTGGCCTGGGACTTGTTTGGAACAGTAGTTCTATCTAGGCTAATAGGTTAATATCTAAATATTTGACATTCAGAGTTTAAGTATTTGATAGAAAACAAAATTTTAAGAATGATATAGCTCAACACAAGAAAATGGAGAAAAAGGCATAATAGGGCAGATAAGGAATCTGTAAAAAGATTATGATGTAGTAGCACTTGTAGGAAACAATCCAAGCTACATTTACTGTCAACTTGCATTACAAATCCCTGTGTTTGCCAGGTCTGATGTGTCCAGCTCAGATCGTATGATATGGAGTTTGCCGAGGGTGCCTCTGGTTGCGTCCGATCTCCATGTCATCACCACAGTCCAGGACTCCCTCAGCTCTTCATCAGTGAACCAGACTTGCCATTTCTTTGTCTCTGTCATGCTACAGGACTTTCCTCCTCAAGTGTTCCTTCAGAATCCTGGAGTTGTTTATGTGAGTTCTGTATATTAGTTGGTAGAATAGATAGATATTCATACTGACTGGAAATCTTTAACCCATTGGCCTACGCTTATTATAGGCCCTATGTTGAACCCTTGGAAACCCTATTAATTTGTAACAAGGTGTCCACATTCTGGAAATCATGAAAAAAAATGTTGGTCATTAAAAGTCAGGGAAATAGGCAAGAAGTCGTGGAAATTTCCAATGATGGATGGATTTGAGGGGACCATTAAATGCTCCATTCATGACCATTCATCAATTTCGTTGTCTCGAGCAATGCGAGAATGGTGCACGTCAACATGTTGCTTACTGTTAATGTTCAACTGACGTCGTTTTTTATAATATTTCTCAACTTCCTACAGATTTGATGAGGACGGATCATCCCAAGCGCCCATCAAGTTACAACATTCTGTCTGTTATCCCTCGTCCTCGAGTCAATCCACCAGAGCTTTGGTCTTTATGAGGGCCTGTTCGATAGCCTAATCAGACCAAATTACACACCAGAACTTGTCTGCACGTCTTGTAGTAAAATTTCCGATCTTTGTGAATTTTTTGTGTTCTTCAATATCAATCTTGTATTTCAATTCATATTCAGCATGTCCTGTATAGATGGGCGAACTTGGCGTGGAAAAATTACCCGCTGCATGGAAGATCTTTAGAGTGATTGTAATTGGAAGATCTCATTTGCCTGATCTTTCAGCCTCAATAAACTGTTAACTATGTTAAACTGTTTTATTTTGTTTTCATGTGAAAGTATTGTACCCAAAGCTTAGCTTAAATGTTTATGTATAAACATTTGACAGCTTTGGGAAGAGTAGTTTTGCCGTTGAAGGTATATTTTGAAGGTCAGTTTTTCGGCATGTAAACCTACATTTATTAAAACGAGTTCGCGAAGCATTATCAGGCCATGGGAACGGTTGCTTTATAGGGTTTTTTGTTAAGAACGGGTTTTTCGTATTTTTGACCCTCAAAATATACAATTTTACAATGTATCTCTAAACCATTTTGTAGAGCTTAAAAACAAATAATTTAGTACATTAAAATGTTTTTTACAGTTATTGGTTAAGGAGAAAATTAAAAAATGTAAATTAAAAACCCTCAAGTTATTCCAATAACGAAGATTTGTAATTATTGTTTTTTCCTTATTTATAGACACATTTTTATAAAATTGTGTAAATTTATTTGTTTCTTATCATACTATTATTATTTTATATACTATATTACCCTCCCTGTAGCAGCAAACCTAGGTACCAGTTAAACCTAATGTTATTTAAATAGGTTTGTGAAAATCAAATCAAGCAAATGGAAATTCGCTTAGTCTGCAGGTTTGCTGAGGTGGGGGTATTTGTATTCATACTTTAATTGATTTTCTATTAATAGCAAATACACTGGCATACTCTCTAAATCAATACGGTGTTTGCTTCAAACAACTATATTGTGGAAATATTGAAAAAACCACAATTTTTATACGTCTTTGGAATATTTATTTATTTTGATGGTCTGTATTTTGACCATTATTTATGCTACATACTTGCTGTTGGGCTTAAACTGTCACAAATTTATTCTTCTTTAATGTAATAATACAAAATTTTCGGTAAAATCAACGGTTCGAGAGATTGAGTGAAAACAATAGGAATTGCCATATTTTTAATATTTCAATAACAAGTGGCGCGCCCCGCGGCGAGCGGCAGTATCTCGAGGTGGATAACTTGGATTTTATGTTATGGGCCCAATACTAACAACATATCCAAAAATCAGAACTACCCGACCTTTTGCATACCAAAATGTCTTATTTTACTGGACTAATTAACACTTTTCTGTAGACAATTTTACTGTGAACAAAATGGTGAAAGAATTATTAATTTATTACTTAAGGTTTTCTTTCTATAGCAGTTAGAGTAAAAGTCTACAAATTCGGTAAAATTAATTGCCGCCAGAGGGTGCTGCAGGTAGCGGATTAATTCCTTCCCCAATGGGTTAACACTCATATCTCTCTTATTTTGCATCAGAATTATTTCAAACCTTGGGAATATGTCAACCAAATATCAAAATACAAAAAAAAGAGAATTAAAATGTTTTTAAATTTATTTAAAATCAGGCCTACTTTTAAGACGTCCTGCTTGAAGTTCGTTCGCTACGCTCACTCACCTTTAGGTTGGAGCTAAATTAAATAATATTTGTTGTGCTGACTTAAATATGAGTACCCATAAGTTTAACATGGGAAACTCCAGAGCCACTGGGGCGGAGCTCTTTTGACCAATCCGCACCAAACTTCACACAAACCATCCTTGTTAATAATGCCTGAAAGTTTCATTACAATCTGTCGAGCGGTTTCGGAGTCCATAAAGGACAAACAAACAAACATACATTGGATTTTATATATATAGTAATTAGTAATCAAGCCAACAATTTTTTTTGTATTTTTTTATATATATTTTTTTTATTAAATTGTATTTAATTATAAAGAATTTATGTTGTTATCATTTTACATAAGCTAAATAACCCCTCAAAAAAATAAATAGTAACGAACTGCTATGGACTTAGTTTAGTCAGTAACTTAGTAAAAAGCGTTAAGTACTTTGAGAGAGCTTTGCCTGTCAATACGTAGGCAGCGCCACCGTCGTCAATAGTATTTATGGACAAATTACCAGCCCCAGCAACCACTTCCTCAATCATTTCTAAGGCTTAATCAACAGGTTGGGGTAATTGTTCGATGACTTCCTCCACTTCTGACTCTTCCTCTGATTCACTTTCATCTTCACTGGAGATATCATTGACATCAACATTACATCAATTTACTGTATAAATCACTCAACAAAAAGCTGTCATCATCAATAAACCAGTCAATTTCACTTGAAGGAAGACAAACATCATGTTCCTCCATGTTAGAGAACAAACAATAACAAGAGGCAGACAGCTGTTTTATAACATTATTGATTTTCACCAAACACCAGGTCTACCAATACGCAAAACGAAATATCTCAGCCATTCTATTAGCTACAACAACATGGTAACACAGATTGATGATTATTGCTGCTATCTTTGAGGAATTAACAAAACTACTTCAGCCGCGGACGCTAACCGTCAATGTATTGGGCGAGCCTCACGCACGGTGGCGGTTGGGGCTCGTCGAAGTAGGCCAATGGGTTAAGGGTTAAACACTCAAAGATTTGTTTCATAGTTTACGTTTTAGGCTTCAAACATAGGACCTTTGAAGCTGTTAAAGCTCGGTTGGTAGGCCATTATATAAACTACTAGGTGGCCCGACAGACGTCGCCCTGTCCTAATGTGGTTTTGTGTCAAATGCTCATTCATTTTAAGATGAGCTCGTTCGCATGGCTCAATGACGTCCTGCTTGAAGTTCGTTCGCTACGCTCACTCACCTTTAGGTTGGAGCTAAATTAAATAATATTTGTTGTGCTGACTTAAATATGAGTACCCATAAGTTTAACATGGGAAACTCCAGAGCCACTGGGGCGGAGCTCTTTTGACCAATCCGCACCAAACTTCACACAAACCATCCTTGTTAATAATGCCTGAAAGTTTCATTACAATCTGTCGAGCAGTTTCGGAGTCCATAAAGGACAAACAAACAAACATACATTGGATTTTATATATATAGATTACTAGCTGGCCCGACAGACGTCGTCCTGTCATAATGTGGTTTTATGTCAAATGCTCGTTCATTTTCAAGATGAGCTCGTTCACATGGCTCAATCACGTCCTGGTTGAAGTTCGTTCGCTACACTCACTCAACTTAAGGTTAGAGCTCGTTCGCTGCGCTCACTTGCCTTCAGGTTAGCTCGTTCACTACGCTAATTCTCCTTCAAATGGAAGTTCGTTCGCTACGCTAATTCTCCTCCAGGTTGAAGTTTGTTCGCTACGCTCGCTCACCTTTTGGTTGCAAATTAGCTGTTGTCATAAATAAAAAAAAATAATAGTGCTGCGCCCTGTTGGTAAACCTAATAACTTTTAAATGCTATTGAACATCACAGAATCAAATTGTTCAGTTGAACCAGCTGTTAAGATTCTTTATTTCCATTTAAATATGAGTACTTATAAGGTTAACATGGGAAACTCCAGAGCCACTGGGGCGGAGGCCTTTTGACGGATCTGCACCAAACTTCACACAAACCATCCTTGAAAAATGCTTAATAATGCCTGAAAGTATCATTACAATCTGTGTAGCGGTTGTGGAGTCCATAAAGGACAAACAGACATATATTGGATTTTATATTTATAGATAATGTTCAAAATCAAATATGTTTCCAAATAACTTCTATGAAAATTGAGAGTTCATAAAGTAGTTGTGCAGTCTGAATACAATTTGCTTATGCAGACACGCTAGATTGAAATAAAATAAATATCTAAATTAGGGGTGTGCGAATAGTGATTTTCAACCTCGAGCCGAGCCGAGCTTTTAAAAAATTTTCGAGCTCGAGCTTTTTCGAGCCGAGCTTTTCCTAGCGTCACCTTATCTAAGTTATTAAACTTTTTTTCTTAAAAAAGTGCATAATAATAATAATTAAATAAACACAATGTTATTTTAATATGTTTAAAAACATTGAGAGTTGTCAAGACATATCAAATAGTAGATAATCACGATAAGAACTGAACTGAACTAAATTAAGATGCAAGAAATAAAAGGATATCGATTGAAGGCCTGACGAGATATGCAGTGCAGACTGAGACAATCAGATTGTCTTTCATAACAGAACAGCAACGCCACTGAATGACGACAAAACAACTAGCAAGTCGATTACACAATGTATATTGTAACTACTATGAATATTTAATTCTATTTTGTATAAATAAATACAAAATAAATTTAAAAACACGTGACTATTCTTTTTGTTTTCCATGCACAAAATATTTTACCTAATTTTTATGAATCGTATTAATCAAAAAAAGAACATGGTTGGTTTGGATCCAAAAACGTGGAGAGACAAGTAAAAAGTAAACTTATATATTAAAAAAGATATAATTGACATATAGAGGAAATAGACCAAAACACTAAAATTAATAGAATAACACACAAAGTAAACAAGCAATGAAATAAAGAACACGATGATTTAATACTGTCACTCAATTTTGTTATCTAGAAGGGTCGGGAACTAATCAATAAATAGTCAAAACCAGTTTCCTCCCCTCCACACAGTCTCACCGCCCCCCTCCCCCCCTAAGCCGAGAGGCCCAACACTTTGTCCTTGAAACACCCTTGCATCTGAAACAATAAACCCTTACACCCGCGTTGCTGTTTTGACAACAGGTTTATGAATGCGATCACTACGGTATTTTTCATTTTCCAGAATTAACTATCAATTATTATTAGCAAGTTACAAATAGGAAACTACATCACATTATGGTATTCAATGATCCATGTATTATCAAAAATTAATAATTCATTACTTATTTTGAAAATAAAAAGCATTCATTACAGCCCGCACCACTTATTGGTATATATATATATATATATAACCATCAAAGTAACTGTTACTTTTAAACAAAATAAAATAGGTACAAAATTGTGTGGCCAGTCAAACTTTATAAACAAACATTTTATTCTATAAAATATAGATGTTAAATAGGGGTTGGTTTAAAGGGAATAAAATGCAAAACAGATTAATTAATTATTTTGATAAACATTAGAAAGGTTATGGGTTTGATTGAACTAAAATAACCGCAGGGAAACTTAAAAGTAGAAAAGTCGTCAACAACAATCTGTTTAATCAGTACATTGTTAGAGAGAGAGAGAGAGAGAGAAGGAGAGATAGCAGATAGGGGCGTTTGATAAGGAATCTGAAAAAGTAAACAAACATGACGATACTCGTTTACAGCCTTATTGTGTCGCCCACTACATTTGCACATGTGACCACTTTTTGTTTCTTCCTTATCTTTCATCCCAAAATAGAATTCCTGAAATAGTTTGTTGGTATAATCTCCCCTCCCACACAAGGCGCAGTGCTCAGTGCGCACTGTAGGTTGTCACGGCAACCATGTGTCGTCATAGCGACGAGCCAATCACGCACTCGCACTGCGTTGTATATTACGATACGAATAGCTGTGTTAGAAAGACAACGCGATAGGTGGTAGTTTGTCTCTTTCCTATCTCCTCAAAATTACGATCGATAATCATTGCGTCTTGACTGAGCTGAGGTTCGTGCTTATCAAACCTCGAATGCATGAACAACGTAGAATTGTGATAACATTGTTTTCAATTACGACCCAAATTAAGTGTTTTTTTAGTTTTGACTTAGTATTAAAAGCTCGGCTCGAACTTCGAGCTTTTTCAAAATGCCTCGAGCCGAGCCGAATAATGAAAAGCTCGACCAAAAAGCTCGAAGATTTGAGTACTCGCACACCTCTACTAAATATGATGTTTTTACATCACAACTACTATACTAAAGGGAAAAGTTGATTCTTTACATAGACCACACAATCGTCAGTGCTAGCATGTTTTGTGGCTGGACGAATCAAGGCTAGGTTAGGTGGAGTAAATTTGTGTATATGTGTAATCGCAATTTGTAAATGAAACATTGAAAAATAGGTTTTGACCACTTATTTCATATTGTGTCCTGTTTTGTTCTTTAGCAACTGATAACTCTGCTAAGAAAACCATCTGCCACAATCTGTGCAGCAGTTGAGTGTTTGGCCGCTCTCACACAGCTGTTACTAGACCAGCTGATATTCTGCTCTCAGCTTGAGTTCACTTCCAACAAGCATCAGGTAATGTCCAGTGTCCAGTGGTTCATGGTATCTTTAGATTGCAGTGAATATATTACACACTAGTTACTACACGCTCCATTTAAAAGAAACTACACTAACACCTTCTTACCCGCACAACATTGAACCAAAACCATATTAATTTAAAATACCCCCGCTGCAACAAATCTGCAGACAAAGTGAATTTCACAGATAAATCAAATTTAAATTTGCCCGATTGGATTTTAATATAATACTAGACATCCCCCCATGGTAAAAAACTCGACCAAAAATATGTATTGTGCAAACTTCTCTGTTTTCACCCCAGCTATAAATAAAACATGTTATAAAGATTTTTTCCCGTTTGGCTTGGTTTTTTGTTTATATATTTTGTTGTTATTTCGTCACCAGCATGGCAACCCATAAGACCCATGTTCATTTTTAAATTTATTTGTTGTGCTTATTTTTGAGCATATTTTAATTTATAAATGGATTTTGCACACCTTCAGGTAAATATCTTTCTTACAGTATGCGTAAATTTTCTCTGTGATGCAAACAAGCTGAGAAAAAAGGTTTTCAAGGAACATGGTTGTCTATTAATATATAGGTTTTCCATGAATAAGAAATATAAATTCCTCATCTAAATAACATTAGATTTAACAAGTAACTAGGTTTGCTGCTACAGGAAAAGTAAAAAGTGCTTTTGACCAAACATTAATATTGGTATCGAGAATCAATAAATTTTTGTATTGACACATCACCGTCGTGTCGTGGAGACATCATCGTCATCTTCTAAGATCACTGTAAAATCCTGAATATCTTCCTCAGTCACGGAAACATTATCACTGTCTTTGATGGTCACGGAAAAATCGGAATATCAATCTGCTTTAACAGAAAACACCAACATCGCCTCCCACTGTCATGTTAACATTATCATTGTCTTCCGCGATAGGGACGAAATTGTGATTATCTATGGCGGTCTAGCAGACATCATTGTCTTCGCGGTTGTTTAGTAGACATCATAATCGCGTCTCCAGAGATCTTGTAGACATCATCATCGACTGACACGACAGCGGCAAAATTCTGATTATCTTCCTCGGCCGTATATACATCATCATCGACTCCAGCGGGGACGTCATCTTTGTTCTTTTTTGCTTGTTCTTTGTTACCATGGAGACCAATCAATATTTACTTTTAAAACTCTCACCTCAGAACTTTCAAAGCTCGCAGGGCAAAGTCTTAGGTCAATTTCAAAGCGGGAATAGTTCTCTATGTATACTTGGAGCTGTAGCCTTATTTTTGTCCAATTTGAGCCCAGTCGGTTCAGTAGTTTTTGAGTTTAGTTCATACAAACACACACACAGACAGACATGCATACAGATATACTGTTCTTTATAATAGTATAGATAGATGTAAAAATAAAAATTGATGATTTGATTTCCTTTAAACATTCTGTAGCTACTTTAGAATTTTAAAAGAATATGAAAGTGGTGACATTATTTGGTGTTAACCAGTTGTTGTATTTCACAGTCGTATGAGAGTGAAGGAGGTAGCACACCCAGAGATGTTGTTCAGCAATATCAACTTGAGGGATCCTTGTCAGGGGGCAGTGTCTTGCAGGTTAGAAAAATTTACATTCTACAGAAACATAGGCCTAAATCAAATAGACCTAATCCAAATCCAACTATATTGTGGATTAATTTTTCTCTTTATTTTTTTATTTATCTAGTAAACTGCTGTAGCCAGATCAAGTACCATCTAAAATTCTATTAAAATGCCTACAGTATGTAATATTGTGTTTGGTTTCAATGGGCCATTTATTTTTTTTATATTTTTATTTTCAGTTTGTTTACAGTTCTAAAATGTTTGTAAAGTCATTATGTCCTGGTTTGTGTTTTACAAAGATTATAATTATCGGTCAATGTTTTGCAGTATTATCTTTCACTGCTTCATTTGTTGAAGTTCACAGTACTACCTGGATGTACACTGGTAGTGAGGATAGTAGCTTACTTGCTTACTGAAACAACCCTCCCAAAGTAGCAACATACCTTAACGTGTCCAGGCAACTGGTATAGGTGGAATAATCACTTTCCCAATTGTTTACAGTTACACATCTCAATGAAAGTAAAACAGCTACCACCCTGGCTTCTATGAGTTAGTACACTTCTTATTGTGAATTCACCAGTCTGATGTTTTTTCATGTTACTAAACAAAACTACAACAATAATGTTTAAACCTATATATCAAATTTCGATATATAGGCCTAAACACAACCTCAAATTTCACCATTAAGATCTAAGACTTCTCATTAACATCACTAGGTAAGCCGAATGTATATTAGAGGAAAGTTAATTGGCTGGTCAAGGTTTTTTTTCAAAGGGGCATATTTCAACTAGCTTGTGTGAGTCCAGAGTGGTAATAGATAGCAACACAATAACAACAGGTAAATAACATAACACTGATACTGTATTACGTTCGGAACTTCTTCATCGAGAAGGTCGAAGAGAAAAAAGTTAAAAAAAGTAATAAAAGGAAATATCAGTATTATTTTATGTGGCCTTTTATTACATATCCAATTAATTGTCATCCTGGACTCAACATTTCTCATGTGAGAAATCTAAAACTCAATAGGCCAAAGTTTCCAAAACAACGATATACAGTTTTTTTAATGTTTAAACACTAGAATGCTTAGTAAACTATATCATAACTTTTCCTGTCTCTACTCAGATGAGCATGAATACTGCAACAGAACCGCTGCCTATCCCGCAGTACTGTCTGATGGTGTTGTCTGCCGCTGCTCAACTAGTAGGAGTGACTCCCCAAGCCTCCCCTCTGACTCTGACCACTCTGCATTTGCTGTCAGCAGTCATTCCTGACACACACACTCTCCTCACACATCCTCGCCTGTCCCAGCTGCTTCACACACTATTGGACGAGCTCACCACCTTAGTCAAACGGAGTGTGTGAGTGCTCAGGCTAAGCTAGGCATTTTGAAGATGAACCACATATATTAGTTTTTTTACCAAATTTTATTTAACACTTTTCCAAAAATAAAATACTTGTCTTGACAAAAACTCTTGACACTCAACTCTTAACATTTTGAGGCTGGGTTTTTAGCTTCTTTTGGCACCATCTCAATTAGGGGTCTGCGGTACAGAAAATTTAAGGTCGGTACGGTTCGGCACAATTATTATTAATTACCTCGGTTCTCGGTACAAAATCGGTACGGTACGCGGCTACCCGTATTTTTGCGGTTTTCTTCTCAGAACTGTATCTAAACCATTATTTTTAACTTTAATACATAGACATTACTATGAAAATGGATATTATCCTACATTCATGGTTTTCTAACAACAATTACTGTACCACATATTATTAAAACAAAACCTTTTACTACTACGAGGATTGTGTCAAGAAAAATCACAGTTGAGATAAAGGCTTTACCTATTTTACTCTGATATACTTTGAATAGCCATGATAAAGTAGTTTAAAAATAGGATAAGAGTTTTTATGAATAAACATGTTTGAAACATTTATTGACAAGATAATTTCACAAAACTGGTAAATTATTTCCAACCAACACAATGTCTAGTTGTTTTTTTTTTTATTTTAAAAACATATAAAAGCATTCAGTAGAAGACAGTGTAGTTTTGCCAGCTGTTCACAGCAGATGACAATGAAAAACTGGAGGTTATGATGAAGTAATGGCAAAGACCATTTTTTTTATCAGCTTCAAAACTAGTTTAGTTATAAGATGGATACAATTCTTGCAAAGTTTTTTCTGAAACTAAAATTTGGATTATCACAGAGTAAGATTTGATGTTGGGCAATTAGACTTTTTAACTGTGTAAAAGGTGTGTATCCCTGAATTTATAAATTGCATTCTACACTTATTCACTGCCAAACATAATTCAGTAGAACCTTGATGAACCGAGAATTACACTAGCCTACATAACTTCATTGCCCCAAGTAAAATACCAAGATAATTTTTATAATTGTATTTGAATCGTATAATCTTAGTTTGTTAAAAATGGATTGTATGTTCAACAATAATTGCAGTCCATTAGTGTTAAGCAGTATGGTCCCAAATTATTGTTTTTGATTTTGAAACATCACAGTTCATTTGACAAAATTATAGTTGAAGCAGCTCAATGTCAAGTCACGCTTGTGCAATAGTTTGTTTACATGCTTTCTCCAGACCACGGGGGAGGGGAGGGTCTGATAAGCCGTCTATTGTTCACCCCCAAGAAGGTCTGACCCTCATTAGTGCCGCTCGGCTGCACTCAGTGGGGAACCCAATACCACAAATCAATCTTTTAAATGAATACAAATATTTGGTAATAATTGTTTTATTAATATTCACCTTGAAATTTCAATAAATTTGGTGTAAAATTTGACAAAAATCTGCCATTTGGACCGATTATTAATACAATACCAAATACCAATAAAGTAGTACCGTACATTCATTGGTAATTAAATAATAGGTAAAAATTTACCGATTTTCGTCAAGTTTTACCACCTGCTGTGCGCTATGTCACAAAAGCTGATAACGACATGGGTGATTAGTAACCATGGCAACTTGTTGAATGCGTGATGAAGGGAAACCCAAGAAATAGAAGAACAAAGAGAAAGAATTGTTATCTTTATACCCTTTTTACAATTTCCGTTATTGTTATCTTTATGTAAGATTTTATGATTTTGTTTTATAGGTTTATAAAATAATTCTTTTTAACTACGGGAATATCAATTTATAATTTATCAACTTGCTTCTCTTCTGAAACAGCAATACCGGATGCATAATAAAGGTCAATGGCCTAAAATATCACGATTGTGCAATATTGTATTTTGATGTTGAAATTAAAATCACGACAAAAGTTTGTATATATCTATGGTCGTCAATAGAAAGATAAAATATCCATAACAAATATTTAATTTATAAAATAAGATTGTAGATTAGTTACAAGTTTTATATGTAGCCATAAACAGTTTTATGGCAGTAGGCAATGGCCAGCGGCAAATTCAATATTCACGAAAATACTGACTGAGTTAGAGATAACATTTAACAGTCATCATAAAACTATTATTTTTATGATAAAACAGAATTGGGGAAAGTCGTAAAGAAATAAAAGTGATAAAACTCAACAGTTCTTGGAAGTACTTCAATACAACAATTATTGTCGTGATAAAATGTTAATGGATTTGGGACTGCTAATGGGTTTTTTATTGCATCATCACGCTAGTAATAAATTATGAAGATCGTAAACAAACATCTGATAAGACTTTTATGTGCTCGGAACCAACTGCCGTTGACTACGATAGAAAACTGAAAGTAATTTATTATTATAATAGGCTGTACCGAACCGAATTTGTACCGTGTAAAATGCTGTACCGAACCGATGACGGTAATTAAGCTTGTACCGTACCGTACCGACTTTTTCGGTGCACCGCAGACCCCTAATCTCAATACTTAAGGATTAGGTACAGGTGTTTTCTTTGCAACTGAACTTGGAAAGGAAAACTTAGTGCATAGGCCTATAAGACTTGCACGACGTTCCCTATCCAGCAGCTGTATTTGGCGGAAAACCAGCCTTTCCAGTTCCACCATTTTCTCATTGTTGGTGAACACATCTGGAATCACTAAAAAAACTTCTTCTCTGGTAGGCTATTACCATTGACTATCGGATACAGAAGTTGTATTAATAGTCAAAGCTTATTACCTTTTCCGTCTTTCAAGGAACACAAAGTCAAGCATATTCTGAAATTATCATAGTAAATAAATACACAATGTCAAAATTATTATTCTCAACACTGTACACACAATTGTAAAAACAACAACAACTAACAACAACAATGAACAATAAAGAATTTTTAAGATTGATAAAGTACTAAAGGCGAAATGCAAAATGTACTTGTAAACTTAGCTATCCAAACTGTTTGAAGTTCTTCTTAAGTGCTTGCTGTATTATAAAATTTAAAATTAAGTAAAATTTTCTTAGTGGCATAAAACTTTCTCATTGGAATGTTTATTAATGGTTACGTCTTGGGTAACCTTTCTTTGGCAACTGTGTTTTGTATATGACTTAATAATATTGATTGATTTGATATGACTACCAAGACTTGTATCTAAGATTCATAAATATTTGAGAGGTTTCTTGAATAAACTATATTCGTCTTTCATATGAAAATAATGAATAATAGTTTATATCTGAGAGAAGTTTCAATGGTTTTCAAAATTCAAAAATGACAAAGACAAATTTTTCACTTAAACTTTAATCTTTATTTTGATTGCCACCTTTTTTTTTCAGGACATGTGATACAGTTGTTGAAGTGCATGTGATTGCAGTGACCTTACAAATCGTAGATGCTTTGGTGCCAGTAGACATGGCATCAGCTGTTCTACCAACTGAACTCCAAGACATTCTCTGCTTCTCAATTATTGACCCAATGCTGGTAGTAAATTATCCTGAACTTCATGCCACTGCTATTAACTTTGCCAACATACTTGAGGTGAGGGTAAAAATAATTTTGATAAAATTATAATAATTTGGAGTTTTCAATACTTTTATTGCAGTTTTTTATTGTTGTTAGTTTGCTTGAAGACTATTAACTTATCAACTTTAACTTATTAAAAATTAAGAGATTTATTATCTATCGCAGCAGTGATGCATGCCAAGCTAGCGCAAAACAAAATATACCACGAGAATCAGCGTTTTTCCCCGAATAGAATGGGGCCAAACACGGCATATTATTCTTCCTCCTGCAGTTGTAGTTGACGCGGCAAATTCAAACTGCACGCGCCCGTGGGCTACCGGCGGAGCTACTGTGCGGACGCGAGTACACGCCTGTGGGAGTCAAAAGGTTAACCTTATTGTGTAAGCAAGGAGTAATGTCATCCAAATTCTAAGATGAGAAGATTTTCACAAGTAGTTTGTGATCCGTTTCAATTACAATTTCTCAACCAATTATATCGTTTCTGATGTTATGTTATTCGGTTCCGTTTCTTTTGCCAAGAACCGGCGGAAACGACATTTGACGTGAAGTACCCACTAATTTATTCTGATTTTGGGCCCATTGCATATACAGGGTGTCCCGTAACTCTCTGGACATATGTATATAGCGTTATTCCTTAGGTCAAGACAAACACATTTCACCATAGGAACATGGGTCTGCGGTGCCTAGTTTTCCGTCTGTCTGTGTTTATAGGTTTTTTACAAAAAAACGAATACCGTAACTCCTAAACGGTTTGAGATACAGCGTTGATATTTTGCAAAAATGTTAATATTATTAAGACCTATTATCGTTCGAGGTTAGAAGTTGTACTAAAAAATCCTTAACCGTTTCAAAATGGCGGCCATTTAAAATATTTGATGCAAAATTTTAAAAAACCGTTAACTTTACAAAAAAATTGCAAGAGACAAAAAAGTTAGTAAATTTTATGTAGTTTTCAATAATACCTTATTTGTTAAGAATGGATAAATAATAACAGGGAAACGAGTTATTTTCGTATTGTATGACCACTTTTCGCCATTTAAACAATGCTAATACTCCTTTTATGTTGTTTAAATGGAGAAAAGGGGTCGCCGGAATTTTATCCCCCTGGAATTTTACCCCCTGGGCAAAGCTGACGTCACTATGACGTAGTAACCTGAGTGGCCAAAAGTTTGTTCGCGGATTTGTTGAAATTTTACCCCCGCGGATTTGGAAGTCTAATGAAAATAGTCAAAGATTAGTGATAAATTAATTAGATTAGCGATGTAAACCGGAATTTTACCCCCTGTCCATATATCTAGCGTTTAGACAACTGAAGATGTACGGGCCGGATTTTTACCCCCGGAATTTTACCCCCGGATTTTTACCCCCCGGAATTTTACCCCCGGATTTTTACCCCCCGGAATTTTACCCCCAGGCCGATTTTAGAAATTGAACGATTGATTTTCTTATTTCTGTTTTTAATTAATTGTAAACATTTCATTATTTAGTAGCCTATCTTTATTTATTTATTTTGTAATCTCAACTAAGTTAACAGAATTCGCTGTTTTATTTTGATCATAACAACAGTTGGCTTCAAAGATCGAATCCTGATACACGAATCTCAAAATTAAAATTAAAAACCTGTTCGATTAGTTTATGTTACAAATAAATTAAGATAGGCTACTTAATAATAAAATGTTTACTATTAAATTAAAACTGAATGAAGATAAGTAATCATTCTCACTAATTTATATATCTGGCCAGGGGGTAAAATTCCGGGGGGTAAAATTCCGGGGGTAAAAATCCGGGGGTAAAAATCCGGGGGGTAAAATTTTGGAGGTAAAATTCCGGGGGTAAAAATCCGGGCCGTACATTCTAGGTTTTTATAATTTGATGTGTTCTGATTAAATTCACAACCGTGAAATTATATGTTTAATTCCGCGTTTAATCCATCAAGCTGATGTCGCGAAACTCAAAAGTTCGCGGCCGGAATTTTACCCCCTGGTTTGTGTTTGTCACGTTTGCCCAGGGGGTAAAATTACAGGGGGATAAAAATCCGTTACCCCGAGAAAAGTGGTCATACATTACCAAAATAACTCGTTTCTCTGTTATTATTTATCAATTCTTAACAAATAAGGTATTATTGAAAACCACATAAAATTTACTAACTTTTTTGTCTCTTGCGATTTTTTTGTAAAGTTAACGGTTTTCGTGAAATTGGGCATCAAATATTTTAAATGGCCGCCATTTTGAAACGGTTAAGGTTTTTTTTAGTATAACTTCTGACGATAATAGGTCTTAATAAGATTAAAATTTTTTCAAAATATCAACGCTGTATCTCAAACCGTTTAGGAGTTACGGTATTCGTTTTTTTGTAAAAAACCTATAAACACAGACAGATGGAAAACTAGGCACCACAGACCCATGTTCCTATGGTGAAATGTGTTTGTCTTGACCTAAGGAATAACACTATATACATATGTCCAGAGAGTTACGGGACACTCTATGAGTGTACTCACTTGTTTTTCTTCAGATGATTGATCCAAATCACTAATTGTTCTAAATTTTCATAACGTTTTTTCTAAAATGACCATTTTGTTGGTTGGAATGGAAGGAAAAGGCTCAGGCATTATCACTTGTGTATAAGCCATGATAGGCTTTTTTGATAATGGTAGATACCACAAAACTTGTTGATTTGTTTGAAAAAGTTAAATTTCAGTGCCTGTATGTTAAATACATAAACAGTTGAAACAACCAAAGCCTTTGGTCACCCCAAACTATGCAAATAAAGACTGTGCCATGCATTAAACCATGAAAATAAGAATTTATCAAGATAGAATAGTTTAAGTAAAAGTATTTAATTAGTACAAATCGACTAGAAGTAAACTACAACAATTAACACATCCTTATATATAATTCTGTAAGACAAAATTTTTACCAGAAAATTGTGGACATCTGGTAAGTTGCAGAAAAGTGGAAGGGGTCTTAAATTAAAGGTCTTGACCCAGGGACTCTGGAAAAATAGCAGAATTCCCATAAAGTTACCAGAAAACAAGATAAAACGTAAAATGTTCTCCACAAAAATAGCATTAGAAGCCATTTACTGCTGATTTTTGTTTACTGCAATACAGCTGATCGTGATTTATCATCAAGCAATGTTAACATTTGGATTACTTATTTGCCAGTCAATTCTGCAAAGTACTAGCCTATATAAAACCAGGGATAACATTACCTATAATAATTAAGATTCATTTTCATAGCCCCAGTATTGCGTTAATATGACAAATAATGGTTAAACATACCTTGTCAGACAATCTTTAACGTGTAAGTTAGTGTCGAAATAGCTACATATGTTTTTGACGGCTATTTAAGCATCTCCGCCATCGTCAGGCAAACAAAAGGATCCACTTGATGTGTCGTCAGAATAAATAAAACACACATTTTACACAAAACATAAAAAAAAAACTATAGTGATAGGCCTATCAACTACATGCACTGCCGTGAACATGGCAGGAAGCAGACTGAATGTTATGTTGTCATGTGACTTGACTCTGGGCTGTCGTCTGCGTTATCAACAGCTTATACTGGTCTATTGTAGTGACGGAGGAGAGTATTGAAAATATAATGAGATTCATGGTTGAGTTTTTCATTCAAAATTTGTGTGCTGTCCTTGGTTTTTATTTCTTTATATATTTCAAATTTTTCCAGAGTATTTAATAAATTTCCTTTCCCGCAGTAATGAAGGATATCAAGACCATCATTTATATCTAGCATATCATGTTTATTTTCGATGATGTATTGGGCGAATTTTAGGGGTCTGCGGTACAGATAATTTAAGGTCGGTACGGTTCGGTACGGTACAATATTTTGTACCTCGGTTCTCGGTATAAAATCGGTACGGTACGCGGCTACCCGTATTTTTGCGGTTTTCTGCTCAGAACTGTATTTAAACCATTATTTTTAACTTTAATACATTGACATAACTATGAAAATGGATAGTATCCTACATTCATGGTTTCTAACAACAATTACTGTACCTACCACACATTATTAAAATAAACCTTTTACTACTACGAGGATTGTGTCAAGAAAAATCACAGTTAAGATAAAGGCTTTACCTATTTTACTCTGAGATACTTTGAATAGCCATGATAAAAGTGGTTTTAAAAATAGGATAAGAGTATTTTGAGGAATAAACATGTTTGAAACATTTATTGACAAGATAATTTCACACAACTGGTAAATTATTTCCAACCAACACAATGTCTAGTTGTTTAAAAAAATTTTAAAAACATATAAAAGCATTCAGTACGATGACAGTGTAGTTGCCAGCTGTTCACTGGAGGTTATGATGAAGTAATGGCAAAGAGCATCTTTTTTATCAGCTTCAAAACTAGTTATAAGATGGATACAACTCTTGCAAATTTTTTTTCTGAAACTAAAATCTGGATTATCTCAGAGTAAGATTATTGTCTTTTCATTTACAAAGTTAACGTCCACAATATCAATCATATCAATCATTAGTTTATCTCAGGCTTAATCCAATTTTCTTAGTATATTTTAAAGCTCTTCCAAAATCAAAAGACCCAGGCCTGGACCTAATTATTTAGGAGGGCCTATATATAAATTGATTAGGTTAAAATGAGGGTAGCAAAATAACTACAGTATCTAGTTCATAAGATTTCAATTGCATAAAGTACCTTCAACACAAAAAAAAACAGGAAACTAAAAAACATTTAAGCCTTATCAATATAAGGCCACATAACAGCCACATCTAACAATATAAGACAAGATACAGAACATGCAATGACATAATTTGAGACCGAGTAGGCTTGAATAATGAAAAAGATTATGCAAACAACAACAACTATGCTTGTGGTTGTCAATAGAAAGATAAAATATCTATAACAAATATTTAAACTTATAAAATAAGATTGTAGATTAGTTACAAGTTTAATATGTAGCCATAAACAGTTTTATGGCAGTAGGCAATGGCCAGCGGCAAATTGAATATCCACGAAAATACTGACCGAGTT